AGGGGGAAACATAGTTCAGGGAACAGGGAACTTCTATTGATGTTCTATTGGGTAAGGGAAACAGTGTTCAGGAAAAAAAGGTATTTCTATTGATGTTCTAGTGGGTACGGGGGACAATGGTTAGGGAAACAGGGATCTGCTAACGATGTTCTACAGGGTTGTCAAAGTCAGGAAAAATAAAAATAAAAATGTTGTTCAGGATGCGAAGGCTGGTGTGTCCGAAGGAGTCGGAAGCAGAATCTCATGTAGGAACAAAGTGTCCAAGTGTCTTGAAAGGGGGTCTGCAGCGGTCTTCAGCAGCTGCGATAGGTAGAAGTCCAAGAAGCGTAGTAGTAGTTCAAGTGTCAAGGTCCAAGTGCTAGGGTGCGTCCGATACACAAACTGCAATGAGGTCTGATCTGGGAAGCAAGGAAGTCGCAGACTGATGCAAAGATCCATGTCATAAGTTGCTGCTCCAGTAAGTCCGCGAGTCGGGATGCCGGCCAATGAAACAGCATGGTGGCCAAACCAGCTGCATAATCTCCATGAACAGTGAGGCAACAGGCCATCATCCTCGTGCGCTTGCCATTAGATCCTTTATTGTCGGCGTCACGCAAGTTCACAAGCATTGGACAAGAGAGACAAGGTAGTGGAGAGGACAGATGGGACAAGGCTAGGCGAGGGCAAGGGCAGATCAGACATCAGGAATGCGGATCAAGGGAAGGGTGGACTGGGTTCAAGGGTGTATGTAGAGCAGGGTTGCAAGGGTTTTTTGTGGAGGTTTATGCCATAGTGATATAGGTATCTAGGACGTAGGATTAACACGATCATAGGCGCGGACGAGTTTCATGACGTTCTTAAGATTAGAGAGAGGTTCCCATGTAGATTCTTCGTCGGGGTATCCGGTCCATTTGACTTTGTATTCAGTGATTGGTTCCGGATGATCAGATACCTGAGTGGTTCGTCGGCCGATAATGGTTTCAGCAACGAATTCAGGGCCTGTGGGTAGCATGATTGGTGGAGGTCTAGGATATGGGCGGTCGGTGAACTGGAGCGGGGATTCATGGTATTCTTTTAGGTACTCGACATGGAAGACTGGGTGGACACGACTCATGTCAGGGGGRAGTTGGAGTTTGTAGTTGACGGGGGAGGTTTATTCAATGATGGGGAAGGGACCGAGCCACTTGTTCGAGAGTTTCTTGGACAAGCCTTGTTCGGGTTTGAAGTGTCTGGCAGAAAGCCAGACTTTGTCCCCTACTTTGAATGACACGTCACGTCTGTGTTTGTTTCTCTTGTTGGCTTGTTGTTCTTGTGTTCTTTCAAGGGCTTCGGTTGCTTCTCTGAGGAGTCTGTTCATTGTTCCTATCCATTCATTGAGAGAGGGGCAAGGGGTGGAGGGGCTGAGCTGCGAGGGAAGCAAGAAATCAGAGGGCAAGCGGGGATGGTAGCCAAGGTCGAGGTAGAAAGGGGACATGCCATTGGAGGGGCAGACAACATTGTTGTAGGCAATTTCGGCGGCTGTGAGCAACTGATCCCAATCGTGTTGGTGTGGATGACAA